GAGCTGGGTAACTACTTCGGCAATGTTCCCATTGCTCACCCCGACCAGGTTAAGTTTATGATGGACTACTTCCACCAGCAGATTCCTTACTAGATGTGGATCGTAGCGTGCTGCAGCGTGCCGCTTGCATTTTGTGGAGCAGTGCTCCCATTTCATTGCACCAGACATAGTTATTATGTCCCGTCCGTCTGTCTGTCACTAGACATTGACATTCTATGCACTATATTCGCTTCTTATCTTTTCAGATTTTGTGATAATACATTTTGTACATGTATCAAAATTATTTTCTACTACTTTCCATTCAATGCTCCATAGTACATAGCATAACCGACGTAGACTACCATAAGACCGCCAGGCTACATACATAACGAAACACTCAAAGCGCCCAAGTAAACTCATCATCTCCCAACTGCCCAAACAACTCATCTAACGACAATTTCTCCAGCTCATGCGCATGAACATCCGGCATATACCCCTCGCTGCCACCACCAACCCCGCCCACACCCCTCTCTTCCTGCCCTACCGACGGCTCATCTTCACTAAGTGGATGCATGAACTGCGTTGTAACGCGCATCCTAGCACCGGGAGCTGCCGGCCCGGACGATCCCGACGTTTCCGTTGGACAGATTTTCGGATCGAGTAGATCCCAGAACAGCGATGGCTGGATAGTGATCGTCGTTCCTTTCGTTATCGTTGCACCTTGATTTTCAGAAGATATAGACGGGTTCGTAGTCGCGACAGAAGCCGACGCCTGAAGTGCATGGAGTGTCTTAAGCCTATGCGAAACGTGCGGCCAGACCGTTGACATTCGAGTTAATACTCTCTCTGCGATGACGAGATGTCCGCGTGCTTTTTCTCCAATTCCTCTGTCCCTGGCGAACTGGAAGATCCATGATATAGAAGCAGTGGCTGCTACTAGATGGGCTATTAATGGGTCGTGGAGCGGTAGGTCGAAGTTCTCCCATGCTTGAACGAGTCGAAATACCCATTCGGAGTGGAATAAGGTATGGTCTACGGTTTGTTGGAGGAAGAGACGGGACTGGGAGACGCCGCGGTTCCCGCGTAATATGACGAGGTGGATAAAGGGGTGGTTCTGAATTGCGACGAGGGCGTGGCAGAATATTTGCATAGATATCCAGGAAGTCCAGTATTCCTGGTGGGTGGAGATCTCAGTGCGGGTTCGTTTGGTGAAGGCAACGTTTCGGAGGAGATGGGATTCTGGGAGTTGGGTTTCGTGTTCGTTGCGTCTGTGGTTGAGCTTTGAGTAGGTGGAGGATAGGGACCAGGGGGTTTCTTCGTTGAGGTTAGGATTCGTGCGGATGCTGTGGAGGTAGGAGGCTGTTTCGCCCCAGATGATCATTAGTTGGATGCCGTAGGCGACGATTCCAAGGTCGTTGGTTGGGTCGGTGGTGTCGAAAATGTCGGCTTGGGTGGGTGATGCGGAAGGGAGCGGGGGTGGGACGGGTGCGCTGGGCGGGTAGGGATATTCGGGGGATGTTGGGGTTTGTGGTGGAGATAGGATGGAGATTTGTGGTGTGAAAATGCTTTCTAGGATGCGTATACTCCAGTGACAGCGGGAGATTGTGACGTCTCTGGTTTCTGTTTGGTTGGTGTTGTTGAGTTGTAGGGTTCGGAATGCTTGGAGTCGGGATGCCATTCCGATTGTCATGCAGGCTTGGGCTTGTTTGGCTTCTATTTGGGGATTAGGACAGGTCTTCAGGTTAACGTAGGAATGCATACCTTTGATGTGCCGTAGGGCTAGCAAGCACAACGACTGCAGTACTTCCACTTGTGGTATGCCCTCGATGGCCATTTTTATGACTGCCTGTTCGGCGGACTGAGAATAGAATTTCCGAGCTTCTATCTCTCTGCCATGGTAGAATCCATGACCTGAAAATGGTAGTATAAGCGTTAAGAAACTCCATAGAAGAAATTCTGGCGCTTTAGCCAGATCCGACTGGAGGGTGTTCATGTTGAATAGCGGTAGTGGCTGCAGATGTAGCACTTTTCGGTACACTTCTGTAAAGTGTTGTAATGCCTCTGTGGGTGGATGTGGACTTATCTAGTTAGCCAATATACCGATTTTCAGTAGCACTAGGACACTTACTTTGTTGGTGAGAAGGTAGACATATCACTAGGACTTTCTCGCACGGGAACCTGCCAGTTCAGCTCTCTCTGCGAGGTACTATTGCTCTCAGGAGTCCCCGGTGATGGTTCGCCATTTCTGCTGGAGCGTGCGCTGACAATATATCAGTCGATTGTACAGGGACATATATGTAGGGTAAAGGATATACGCACCATAGCGCACCATACAAATCATTAACCTGCGACTCGAGTATCCGAAGCCGATCTTGGGTAGCTCTTCTGGTCTGACATTAGGATCAAGGTGCGTTCTGGCTGCAGAATGGCTCACATACGCATACGCTTTTGTCACCCTGCCAGATGTGACATTTGCTCGCTCTCTGAGTGAATAAACGCATTGGTGGTTTAATCTTTCGCAGGTTGAGCAAACCGGCCTCTCTCCAGGACATTTCGTTTTTCTGCGTCTGTCATAGAGTCAGCAAGTCTAGCCATTTCCCGATGAACAAGAGACCCTACCGACATGGCTCGCAAGCCTGTCGACTCCGTTCTCGGGGCTCAGAGGATCGATCCATGCTATCGGTAAATTCACATTCCGCTATCTACTCCTGCCATTAGCCGGGGAAGTAGCCGATCGATCTCGGCGTCGGGGCAAATTCCGGGCTGCGTTTTGCCGACCACGTGAGCGGAGATTCCGCCACGTGCTTATATTTTGGGACTAGTTTATACCCGGCTAGTGGCGATCTCGCTTGGGTTTCCTTATGGGTATGTTTGAATCTCATCTTTTGGCTGGATGAAGGACGTGTGTCAAAACAGGGAATGCGACTTTGGAGGAATATATTGCTCTAAAGGAACCATTTCTAGTTCCATCTTCCATCATTAACTTCGTGATTTATCATTCATCAACCTCATATTTACATTCTCCACCATGAGAAGGCATTGATTGACACTTTACAATTTGGCCTTCTCATAAGGAGTCAACTCCCGTCTCGCAGGTCCTGCGCGGCTCCCATCACCCAGGAAAGTATCGTCCTGGTTCTGGTATTCCATCCGGAATCGCCACTTCTGAGCGAGGTTCTCTGGCAGGTCCCGTTTGATCGCCCGCGACATGTATTCACCCAGGACGGGTAGGAACTTAAATCCACTGCGCATTGAACGTTAGCATTCAATCACACAAGCACGAATCGATACAAAAGCATAGACTCACTGTCCACTGCCTGCACCTCCAATAAACAAGTTCTTGAAATCCGGGTGGTAGTCCATGATGAAATCACCGGTCGGGGTATCCGTATACCAGCAGAGAGCCAGCTTCTCAAAGGGCCGGTCAGCTAGTTCAGGCAGAATCTCGCGCAGTCCTTCCCGGAGTCTGTGCTCGCCATCCGCTGGGACAAAGTTGATACGTTCACGAGGTGGGATCAGCGGGGGAGTCGAGATGTTACCCTTGGCGAGGGTGAGCTCTCCCTCCTTGGGGGTCCTGGTGTACCCCCACCCGTGAACAGCCATCTTCAGTAGGCTAGTATCTTCATGAGGAGGGAAGTTAAACCAGCCACTCGAGAAGTTGATATAAATCGGAAGCTCTTCGTACTTCTTCACCTCCTCTGGCGTGAGACGCATGAATCCCAGGACCTGAGCAGTAGCAATGGTAGAGTTGTACATGGGAACCAGGCTAGACCCCCATGCACCAGCTGCAAGAATGAAGTGATCTCCCGACACGGGGCTTCCAATAAGGGTTCGTACGGCCTTGATATTCTTGTCGGAATCGGTGTCGAACCCAACAACCGTACCCCGCCGGCCGCAGATGAATGAAACGCCAGCTTCGAAGCAATCATCACGAAGCTGGCTGATAGCCTTGTTGGCGTCTGCCCATCCTGCTTGGTTGTTTTGGTACCCAGAAAACGGGGGTGTGGCTAATTTTCCGCTGAGGACTGGGTGTAACCGCTTCGCGTGGTCCACGTCGGTTACGTGGGTCCATGGAAGGTTATACCTGTTGAGAGCTGCTTTGGTCCTCTCCATCCATGAGTCTTTGACGGGACCCATGCTTCCTGTCAGAATGAAAGGTCTGGGGTAGAAGATGCCCCGGTACTTCGGCTCCTGCCATTTTAAATAGGCTGCGTGAGAAATACGCAAGTAATCATCGTCGGCATAATCAAATCGAATTATACGAGAGATGTCAGAGCTGGATCCATCTGAAACCTGGGCGGATTAGTTGAGGCAACATTCATTGCGCAGAACGGAACTTACTGGGGGCATATGTCGGTCAAGGACCGTGATGTTCTTGTAGCCCTCGGTGGCGAGCTGGTAAGCTGTGGTGAGGCCAAATACGCCTGCACCGATAATCACAACATGGCTGTCTTTATCCATAACTACTGATATACTTCGGGGGGGTAATGGGATGGCTTGAAAGTGAATGTTTTTAGTGGAGCAATGGTTGTTCGATCAAAGCTTTCATGACTCCCTTAATAACTATGAGCGGAGGCCCAAAATCTCCTCCGATCCGCTCACGTGGTCGGGTGTCGGACTTGTCTGGATCGGCATCTGGATCAGAACAATGAGTATTGTCTACTTCGTAGTGTGGCGGTCTATCTCTGTGCTGGATTATGGACGTGGCGTTGAACCACCTCCACACTGCAATCGTGGTGCAGCCATCTTGGTCTACTGACCAAAAAACTTAATGAATGATTCCATGGCTTCCGTTGCCGGGAATGAACGCTTATTGAGATTGCCACTAATGTCAGTTGCTTCGTTAGCCGCTTGATGTAAAGTTGATTATTCGAATGTTCATTGATCACTATATAAATAGCAAGGGAAATGCGATGGTTGTTTACTTCAATTCATTACTTGCATCTTGTGGTACGAAGCGAATGCGGGCGCGGGTGCGGCAAAACGAAGAAAGAAAAAATAAAAAAGGCAAAAAGAAGATGTCCCTCGACCCGGAATCGAACCAGGGATTTTCCGGTTACAATTAACCATTACAGCCGGACGCCATAACCAACTAGACCATCAAGGGTTATCTGTTAGTACTGGCCTTTGCTCTTATTGATATACCACTAAACTCAGCTAGAATTCTCATCCCACTTTGTCAGCGATCACGACCATTTCAGCTCAGAGTAACTGGTATATATCCTGCCCAAATTTAGTCTATTGTCGTTTAATTATTGCTTCTGAGTCTTCTTAGCCTCTCTATCCCCTCAATACGTCATTTTTAAGCTTATTTTCCTGCTTGTGGCTCGCTCTCCGTTCCCCAATAGATCACGCCCCAGTCGTATCTGGTGAATATATATTGTCTCAGCTCACTTTTCCATGCCAGTGAGACAGCGATCGTGAAAACATGCGGTCTAGACGACAATCCCGTCAATCCCAGGCACCAAAAGAGCTAGTAATCGCAAAACATACCGAGAGGCGTTTTTTGTATCAGATAAGGGTCCCCGAGGCATCTTGGGTGACACCCACTTACCAACTGCCTTAGGCATCAGCACGAACATGTGCGGGGATCGGTAAATGACCTTGAAATGTTGGGTTGGGATGACCCTGATCAACACGTAAGCCATTCAGCTCCACCCAAGGAAAACCGAGCACCTAGAAAGATCGCACCTAGCGATTCTACTAATTATCTGCAGCCCCGTGGGTGGGAAATCGCTTCATAGGTCCATTCCAGAAATGGCATCATGTGACCGCTGTCATGGATACTCTTCTTCCTTTCCACTAACCTGGCGACTCATCCATCCTGCGCTTCATAATCTTGGCATAACTATTGAATGGATATATACTCCAGCTTTTGCGACATGGGTATTCCCAAGCCAACGACCATAATGCGATCGTCTTCCTAGCGCTTCACCCACTCGCAATCGGGGAATTAAACGAGGGGCGACAACCTCACCAGGATGTATCCAGGGTGCAATCCATTTGGACAGATACTGGGATATACTTTTGCCTTGTTCATAAACAAGTGCTAATATACTTTGGAACAGCACGCGTACCACGTTTACGTGCAGACCCTATGCTGCGTGAGAACCAAAAGAAAAGACACCTAACAACCAACCATCCCAGGACCCAGTGTTGTGCATACAAGACGAGCAATTTGAATGTGCGGTGAAGCTTTGTACCCCTCACCCAGATATTTTCAAGTCCTGTGGCCCGAACCCCTCAAATCGCTGAACCTGCTGAACCACAGGTATCCCAGGTTCAAGGCTATAGCGTGGGCCACTTTCTAGCTACTAGGACTGGGAACTTACTACCATCTTACTGCTAAATCCAATAACATAGAGTGGAATCCGGTGGGCCACAGTACAGAAACCCTTTGTCTTTGAAGGATTCGTCTAGCGTCACCAGGTGGCCTGCCGTATCCCAAGCTTTCAATGTACGTGCAAAGCGCGATTGACTCTAAAAGTCTTTTAGACCTAGAGGAGTTGATTAATGGGCTGAACCTTGAGGAGGAGTAGGGCCACAGTGAACTTGATCTAGAAGGATCTACCGATACCACATGGCTAGAGAATCGCGTTCAGGCTTTTCGGGATGATAGGGTAGATAAAATGCTCATTTTCGTAGACCGTACTCCTTTGTCTCGGAGAGACATCTGAAGTTCAAAATAAACAGCGGCGTTTAGGATGGAAATATTCACCGGAAACCCACGCGACTAGGTATCGGAAATATGGGCCCAAGGATCCACGAAGTGTCCTTAGATCCGGGGTGTAGTTAACTACATTACGCCCACCGCCAGAGTGCATAGTCTATCAGGAACTATATTAAGCAGCTAGCAGATTAGAACATCATGGATGGCGAAAGAATGCTTTCCAGCGAGCAAGGGTTGCTGGTGATACAATCTCAAGGAAATAAGTGACGATATACCGATCTAAACGATAACCAGCCGCTCGGATATTCTGATTCATAGGTCTGCACAAGGCGCTGAATATCCTCCAAACCAGCAACTCTCTGGCGAGCAATGAAAGCAGCCATTTTACCTCGCATGAGAAAGACCGGCGCTATAATACAGATCGTCTGCACTCCGGCCCCGGTATTGATGGATATCTGCCTTCTGTTCGCTGAAAGCTCTCTTGGGCTGCTCTGGTACCCTGAACCCAAATTTGGGAGATTATGGACATGTGTTGGGTAGTCACAATCTTAACAACTTCGACAATGTCAACCTCGACATGTAGTGCGTTGACACAACCCGTAATCTGGGCCAGTGTGAACAAAGACATTCACATCATTACTGATCAATCTGGTATTCGGAATTATCGAACTAATGGCTGTTCTGGCACCGCCGGACCCAGAAGAGACGGAAGCTCTGTATACGATTTGCTAATTCCCTTATCCAGTTGAACAGGAGACAAAGCTCCTCCTCTCCCAGACAACCGAACGACCGCTCTTCCACGACACGAATTGTCATAGGCCATTTCATACACGGTCAGAAGACCTCCCATACTTAAGTCTCTCCGATCGTACGGTTGCAGGCGACACCACTGAGCAGGGGTCTCTTAATTGCGAAGAGAATGAAGGCAAGCCGGGTCGACGTTGTTCCGACAGGTTCTCATATACTACGTTCTTGTCCCACGCTTCTTCCACCAATTGAAAGGACCGAAAGTACGACGCATTGTTACAGCTATAGAGCGCACCTTAAACTGGCTGAGTCCAGAATAGACCTAATAATCCTGATCGTTTAGACATCAAGCATACTTGATAAGAATGATAGGCATAATGAGGATACATATTGAATCACACTAGCTGAAGCGATGATATTGATATTAAAGGAGTGTCAATGATGTGCTTCATAATTTAGTAAGCCATTTGTAATGATTTTGTGGCTCCCCAATAATGGGTCTTAAGGGTTCATGGGTTGTGAATGGGCTCCACTAAAATAGTGCGTCACAGTCCAGGGTTAGCAGATAAGCCACGTCCAAAATCAACTGCTGGGTTAAGACATGTAGAAGTAAGGTACGTAATATGCAAGGCTGTGAGGTTACTACGGAGTATGCCGATTCAATGCGGGTACCAAGCGACTGATTCTGGACCGCTGTTGGCTGATCAAACCACGCTGTGTTGCCCCCAAACGGGCGCTTTGAAAAGAACAACAGCTCAGGTTCGGATATTCCGGGAATAAGCTTCCGCATGGATCATGAAATACGAGAGAGCCAAGCAGGAGTCTACCAATCGGTGTAGGTGGTGTGCGAGAGCTTGCATTGCAGTCCGATTGCGGATACATCCTGCCACATCACTCGGCAAACAATAATGGCCTGACCGTGCAGGATTCCAATGGTAATACGTTGATTTTCTGTCAATCGGATGTTTTGGGTTGTCAAAAGCCACACAGCAGAGATTTCACGCACAAGCTCTGGATCGAAGGATCGACCAGGGTATTAATCACGGGGAGGTGAAATTTTTCCTAGCGCAGAAAGCGATACTCAATACGTCCACCGACCAATGGAGCTGGGTAGCTAGGCCAATATAGGGAACAGTCTTAAAAAGAATGTGGCTCTTCGGCATAAATGGTCCGGGCTAGACAGCCGCAATTGGCCAACGGGTTATCATCACACCCGGCATTGGCCGGCTAATAATCAATACCATTGGCTGTGAGCCCCACAACAGAGATTATCTGATGCATTGGCCTGATTATCTGATGGCGCTTATCGCTTGGCCCCCATTTATTCGTTCACCATCGATTCCTGACTCTCACCCTCCAGTCTGCAAGCGTGGCTCCTGCGTGACACCACGAGCTTAGTTGCCACGCCATGGTGCTAGAGACTTTGGCCCCAAAGAGCAGTCTCCACATGAGCCATAGAAGAAGGAGAAAGAGAAAAGTTTGATGTTGGCGCTAATGCAGACCCAAAAGCCAAGTTGAATGGATGATTGACAGGGGAGACGATGGGTGTGGGAGGAAATGCTACCCACTATATAACCATCCGGCGATCGGCCCTTTTCCTTCCCCTTTTCTCTCACTCCTATCCCCATCGAAATTACTCATCTACTCACCTGCAGAGATAATATCTCATCCAGCTATCATGGGTGTCGTCGTTGACCGACTTAAGGGTCGCAAGACCAACCATGTCGTGGATGATCTTCAGCCAGTAGAGCAGCTTCCGAAGAATTCCCAGACGGATGGTCCATCTGCTAACCTGGGGCTCTCCGAGAAAGATGCCCAGCCTGAAGGGGTTTCCCAGGAGGCCCCGATCGGAGTGCAGAAGGCAGAAGCTGCTGCGCTAGTCTGGAGCAAAAAAGCCATTTACGGCACTTACGCCTGGTATGGAAATTACAAGGAAGCATATAGAAGAGTAGTACTAATGTTATCCTCAGGATCTGGGTCTGCTATTTTATGCTTGCGCTTCATGAATACATCAGTACCAACGTCCTCTACTATGCTTACTCGAACTTCTCCCACGCCTCGCAAGTCACTACGGCCTATATCTTAGCCACCATCATTGGTGGAGTGCTGAAGCTGCCCATTGGAAAGCTTCTTGGAATTTGGGGACGTGCTGAAGGCCTGATCGTCTTCGTCATCGTCTACGTTCTTGGATTGATCATCCTCGCGGCATGCAATGGCCCCAATGCCTTCGCTGCTGGCTATGTCTTCTACTGGATCGGTTACGATGCTATATACCTCATTCTGGAGATTTTCATCGCTGATACATCCGGTTTGCGCAACCGAGCTTTTGCGTTTGGCTTCTCCACCACGCCTTTCATCTGCTGTGCCTTTACCGGTTCCCTTGCCGCCAACTCCTTTATCAAAACTTCAGGCTGGCGCTGGGCCTATGGCGCCTTCGCCATAGTCCAGCCCTTCGTCTTCGCGCCCCTCATTTTCGTCTTCAAATATTATGAGCGGAAGGCCTACAAGACCGGTGTTCTAGTTCGCCAAGACAATGGTCGGACCTGGTTCCAGTCGTTGATCCACTACATTCACGAATTCGATGGTAATCTTTTCCCTCTTACTAGACAAGTTGCGAAACCTAAAAAAAGACTCTAACATCACCTTGACAGTTATCGGTGCCTTCATCCTCATGGCCGCCTTCGTACTCTTCCTCCTCCCCTTCAGCCTAGCTAGCTATGGCCGAACAGAATACCATAACGCCGCCTTCATCGCCGAAGTGGTCATCGGTTTCGTTCTCTTCTTTGTCTTTGCAGCCTGGGAGAGATGGTGTGCCCGGGTCCACTTCATTCCCTACGACCTTCTCCGGGACCGCACCGTCCTCGGCGCCTGCCTCCTTGCTGCAGTCGTCTACTTCAGCTTTTACTGCTGGGACAGCTACTTCTACTACTTCGTAATGGTCGTTTACAACCTGGACGTAACCAAAACCGGCTACATGACCTCCATTTACACCGTTGGATCGTGCGTCTGGTCCCCCGTCTTCGGCTTCTGGATCCGCATGGTCAAGGAGTTCAAGTACTCGTGTTTGTGCTTCGCGGCGCCGCTGATGTTCTTGGGTGCCGGGTTGATGATTCATTTCCGCGGTCAAGATGCAGATATTGGTTATGTCATCATGTGCCAGATCTTCATTGCTTTCTCTGGTGGTATGTTGGTCATTGGTCAGCAGATGGCGGTGATGTGTGCGTCGAACAGGGATGGAATCCCGATCTTGTTGTCGATGTTGGGTTTGTTCAATAGTATTGGGGGCGCTATTGGGTATGCGGTTTCGGCGGCGATTTATACGAACACGTTCACGGATGGGTTGAGGAGGGCGCTGCCCGCGGAGGATCAGGACTTGTTCGAGACGTTGTACTCTGGGGGTTATTTGTCGCAGATGAAGTATGAGCCTGGGTCGGCGGTCAGGGATGCGGTCAATTATGCGTGGGGATATATGGAGAAGTACGAGGCTATTGCAGCGACTTGTATTTTGGTGTTGATGTTTCCGGCGGTGGGTATGTGGAGGCATTATAATGTGGATAAGAAGCAGAATAAGGGGACGATGATCTAGGCTGGCCTGTTAGCTGATATGTCTAAAGTAATATTTAATCGTTAGATAGATAGATAGTTTGGTAACAGCTTCGACTGTGATGTGACTGATCATGGAGCATGTAGTCAATCTCGACCCGAAGAGGCAGACCTATAAACGAAATTTGCTTGATATACCGGAATCTTTCACAAGATATGCAGGGATGAGAAGTAGCACCATTGGCCATGGATGGACGGTTGGACACATTGAAGAGCCACAAGAAAAACTTGGGAATGTTACACCGCATCTAACGTGACAGCTTAATGGATATTCATCTACGATCGCAACACAAGCAAAGTTTTCTATCCTACTTATCCTTGAGGCCAAATCTCACTCCCTAGAACATATACTAACCTTGTAACATATTCCTATCGTCGACCTGGATTGAACCTAACCTGTGCCCGATACCGGAACTAATCCAGTATAATCACCTAGCCAAAAATGCGCCGCTTCGAGAGAATTACCCAGGTAGTTGAGCTTGTCGAAGAGTATCGCCGGGGTGGTTACCACCCTGTCCACATGCATGACATCTTTGACCGGAGATATGAAGTTGTTGGAAAACTAGCCTACGGCCAGTTCTCGACAGTCTGGCTTGCAAAGGATAAGACTAGTACCCATCAACACGTGTCCTTAAAGATTTTGAAAGCAGATGCTTCTGCAGATTCGAAGGAGCTTCTGATACTTCGTCATCTGGCGGCGTCCCAATTGGATCACCCCGGGAAATCACACGTCGTTGAACTACTTGATCACTTCTATCA